GGTAAAATACGAATCCCTGTTTACGGAACTCCTCTTGAACTTGGACAGATTTAAACTCTCATTTAAGCTCCCTAGATATTGATGATCCTTGCAAAAATAGCTCTGAGCAAGTAATAGGATTTACATAAGAGAACTAAGAAGGCTATTCATTAACAGTAAGGCAAAAGCAAATAAACCAAAAAATAGAGCTCCAAATAAATACAATCTTTGTTCCCCTACTTATAATATTCATGAAAACAGTCTTTCCAACATTTATTCTCAGAAATTCATTTGTAATTTTCAGAAGAAAAAATTAGTTATCTGATCAAGGAATTTCCTTGTCTAATTGTAATTACTATCCTTCTCAACAACGTCATTTGGAATGGTTCATTTTTTATTTCACCAAACAAATATTTTATTCTTCCTTTTCAGCACACTGAATTGCCTTGTTTATTAAAATCTCTCCAATTCCTATTATTTTGTTTTGGTAAAAAAATTCCTTGAAAAGTTTGAATATAGTCTTTGGTAATGTTAATGACCTTTGCCTGCTTTTTTTTGGTCCTTCCTAGTTCTTTGATTTATTGTTAGTGATTTTCCTTTCCTTCTATGTGCCACTCACAGCGATTAGCTTTTATATAGCAATTTATTGACTGCCCATGCTTTGTTAGGATGTTTAGCAAAAGTGCTAATGCAGCCTTTGGAAATTAGACCTTTAAAAGCTGACCATAGGTTCAAGGAGACAGTGTAGAATGTATAGTCTATGATTTAGGAGAAGTCAGCTTATAGTTTACATCAAATGGACAACTGAGTGTTTTCTCTCTAGCTGAAAAACCTAGAGTGTATGTTTAAAAGATGTTTTCAAATGGAAAATGTGATGTTATTTTATGTTTCAATTTATTGCTAAAGATATCATAATTAATAGTTTAAGCATTCAGAGAGCATATGTTTAAGTTTCTGTCAACTATAACTTGGAACTCGATTCAAATATGTAATATTTGTACAAGTACAGAAGCTTATGGTAAAAAAAAAACTATGAAGCGCATATACTTTCATAATTTGTACTATTTTGTGTGATCTCTGGTATTTGTTTACTGAAGAGATTTGGGGGCATTATGGTTATCACACACTTCCTCCAATTTTGAACAGCACTGTTTGATTCTAGTGTTGCAATCATGGATTGTACAATTTTTATAGATTACAAAAACTTGTCAAAAAGAGTCGAAATCCACATGGCTCATTATTTCACATGCTTAGTTGCCAACCGATCTATCAAAATATTTAAAAGTACTAGAACTTTATGTTGAGAATTTTTATTCAGTTTTTAAGGATATTGGAATGCTATCACTTTACAAAGTAAGAACATTATAAATTAGCTGAAACTGTATTACAACACAGGAAAAAAGTCAGTAATTACCATATTTATTATACACTCTTTGTGCAAGATATAAGATACTAAATGTTCACCTCATTTAATCTTCACAACAATCCTCTGAGGTAGATCAAGTATAAGAAGTATAAATATGAAAAAACAGGCTTAAATAGGTTTTGTAACATTTTCAATTTCATGCAGTTATTCCCAAATATTTATGGAATCTTTACTATGTCATAAACATTCCTCTATAGGCAAAGGATACAGTAACAAAGAAAAATATTTTCTTTTACTTTTACTTTTACTTTCAAAATGTTATAGACAATATGAAGAATTTAGGATTAGGATTCAGGTATGACTTAATTCCACAGCCCATGTTACTAACCAGTAAATTTCCTGCCTAGGGAAGATTAAACATCCTTTAAAAACATGAAATTGCAAAATATTTTTAAAATCATAAATAGTCTCCAATTCAGGTTTTCTGGTTCCAGAGCCATCATACAACTCTACCTCTCTCATTTCGTTGAGTATGAGAAGGTTTAATGAAGGGTTGAACTGGTTGAAAAACATGAGAGAGAGAGAGAGAGAGAGAGAGAGAGGCAGCATTGATTTACAAAGCTGTATAAGATTTAGAGGTGTAGGATCACACCCTTTAGGTATATGTTACTACACCACACCTACCACCAATGCCCCCATAGTCCTCCACCATAGTCTACTGTGCTCCCTCCCCTCTCTGATCTACCCCCACCTCATTCCACCTCTAGTAGCCTCAATTCTACAGTCAGATGCCTTGGGTTTGTTATTGGTTTGGTTTTATCCGATCCTTTGTTCAGTTTCAGTGTATTCCAAATATGAATGACAGCACTTGGTATTTGTCTTTCTTCTGATTTATTTCACTTGGCATAATTCCTTTCAGTTCCATCCATATTGATGTAAATGGTGAAAGTTTAATCTTTTTTGATTGCTGAGTAGATTCCATTGTGTATCTATAACACATCTTGCTAATCTACTCATCTCTCTTTGGGTACTTAGGTGGTTTCCATAACTTGGCTATTGTTAATAGGGCTGCAATGAACATAGGAGTGCATGAACACTTCAAATTAGCAGAAAAGCATTAATTTTTTTTAAATATTTATTTTTATTTGTACAAGAACTGGGGTACAGGCTGGAGGCACTGGAGGGTAAGAAGATTCACCAGAGACAGAGCGGGGAGCAGAAGGGCAGACAGACCGAAAAGACTGCTGAGGGTAGCAGCGGGGGAGGGAGGAGAGGTCTGCCGTGCCATGTGGGTATCTCCTTGGCCGCCTGAGAATTGAACCCACGCTGCAGAGGCTGCAGACAGCTTCACAGCACTGCACTCAACCTGCTACACCACCGGGGAGGCCCAAAAAGCATTAATTTTTAGGAACTCAAGATCAGCTATATATTCTGGCCCTAGGAGAATGGAATGGAGGTTCAGAGCTGGGAGGACACAATGCTTCTCTACACACAGTAGAATATTTATACACAAAAATCATTTTGCTCTATCATAAAATCATATTCAGTGAATTCAATTAAAAAATAAATCTGGAAAGCATCCAGAGAAATGAAATTAATATCAAAGGGATTGAAAGTATTCATACCAAATATTGTCTAAACAGAAACTTAAGAATTGGCTATGACTATAATTTATAAAAACTTGAAGGCTCTGGGCCTTATGAATATGGACTTATTTAACATAAGAAATATCCTTTTACATTTGAAGGAAACAAATTTAAGTAAATAAAGGTAAGGAATTTTTTTACACAGGAGTTAGAAAATTTTATGGTATTTAATCTCAGGAGATAAACGAAGTTGAAAATTATCTGATTTAAATAGTTTCAAGCAGGGGAAAGCATACATGCATACATACATTGTACAAAAATGAACAATGATGTAATATATATGTAATAAAAATAAATGTATAAATAATTTCAAATAAACTTGTTTTTATTTGGAAAAATCACAAGTTTAAATTAGAGGTATCTGAAAGGAGCCATTTGTAAACTGAAATAACTCAGTCGTTTGAATTGGTGCCTGAAACTAGAACCTCAAAAAATAGCTGCAAAGAGTTTCCTTGTCCTAAGGAGGAAAACAATGCAGTTCCAGTTCAAAATTCCGCCAAGGACAGCCTAGTGCTTAATAGTAGTCTCTGGGACCAGACTGTTTGGCCACACCACTTGTGAGACCTTGGCAAATTCCTACATGGAGATAGAGTCTAAAACTAGTGAGGAAAACAGAGTTATTTGTCCTGAGCTAAGGAATTGGATAAGGGCCTACAGCTTATGGAGAGGAGGGGGACTGAGGAGAGGAGGAGAAGAGGGTCTCATGTGACAAAGACCAGATACACTGTCATTAAATGTTTGCCTTCCGTCTAGAGAGATTTCTCCGATCGGTTATTTCTGGTAAATTCTTTGTTCTGAGCAATACTCCCAATTTTCATTCATCTAAGGGAATGATAAAAGCTTTTTTCTTGAGCCTGCAAGGCCTTGATTGACCTTAGCTGAAAATAATCCACATGACAAACTGACATGTTTTAGGAAAGCTCATTCTGGACATCCTGGGGGTATCTATTTCCCCCCAGAAACAAGATATTCCTTTGTTTTATATCTCTGAGAACACTGAATTTGAATGGTCAATAAATTGACTTGAACATACTTGGCAATAACTCCTTTTTTTATAACATATATATGTATACAGTGTTGTCTTAGTTTTCTATTGTTGTCATATTTTACCACAGACTTCCTGGCTTAAAACAATAGAAACTAATTTTCTTACAGATGGGAACCAGAAGTCTGAAATCAGCCTTATGAGGCTAAAAAATCAAGTTGTCAGCAGGACAGGCTCCTATTGGAGTCTCCAGGGGAGAATGCATTTCTTGCCTCTCCCATTTTCTTGAGGCCGCTGACATTTGTTGACTTCTGGTCACTTCACCCCACTCTCTGCTTCAGTATTCAGATGGCTTTCATCCCTTCTGTGATCAAGTCTTCCTCTACCTTGCTCTTAAAAAGATACTTGTGGGCCTCCCCGGTGGCGCAGCGGTTGAGCGCTGGGTTGCGAAGCTGCCCGCAGCCTCTGCGACGCCGGTTCGATCCCCAGGCTGCTCCCCGGCCACCAGAGGAGGGTCCCACATGGCATGCAGACCTCTCCTGCCGCCCTCTGCTCCCCTCAGCAGTGTGCTTCGGTCCTTCTGCCTGCTCTGCTCCCCGCTCTGGCTCTGGTGAATTCTCTCACCCTCCCGCGCTTCTGACTGTACCCAGTGCTTGTATAAACAAAACAAACAAACAAACAAACAAACAAATAAATAAATAAACATGCCTCTATAAAAAAAAAAAAAAATACTTGTGATTACATTTGTGTCCCAGCTGGATCACCTAGGGAAATCCCCCTCTCTGAAAATCCTTAACTTACTCATGTCGACAAAATCCATTCTGCCATGTAAGGTACCACTCACTTGTGATTAGGACCTAGATACCTTAGGGGCCTCTGTTCAGCTTACTACCTCTGTTTGGACAGGCATCATCTTTTCTTTCAATTATTTAGTGTTTGTGAAGCAATTTTTATAAATTCATGGTACTGGATTACATTTCAGGACAGAATAAATATTATTGAAGATTGTGCAAGAATAACTTACTAGTGCATCACAAGGGCAGGAGAAAATGCCTTGGTATTTCTTGACTTGAAACCTCCAATGCTGTGTATTAAACCAAAAGAAAGACTCAGTTCTAACACAACATCAATGAAATAGATTGATATGCACAGATTTTGACAAACGTTTGGTTAGGAGAATTTTGTATTTTTCCAGCTGGTAAAACAAACAAATAAGCAAAGCAAATAAACAAATAAACATTGGTGGGGAGCTCCTACACATATAACCAGAATTGAATGTGTTCCATTTTCTTTTTTTTTTAAAGATTTATTTATTTATGCATACAAGAGCTGGGGTACAGGCCAGAGATGAGGGGGTGGTGAGAAGATTCACTAGAGACAGTGTGGGGAAACAGAACAGGCAGACTGACTGAAATACACTGCTGAGGGGAGCAACGGGCAAGTCAGGAGAGGTCTGCTTCACCATGTGGGTTTCTCTCTGGCCAGCTGGGGATCGAACTCGTGCTGCAGAGGCTGTGGATAGCTTCAGAGTGTGGTGCTTACCCCCTTGTGCCACCAGAGAGGCCCGAATGTGTTCCATTTTCAACAAGAAGATTGTCCCTTTCTCTTCCACATACAAGCTGTGTTGCCATCTTACAATTTAAATTTTAAATATGTCATCCAAACAAAACATTTTAGGATAAGAGATGTGATAAGAGGATGTAGAGATTTGCTCAGGATCTTCCTCCCTTTGAAACAGCTCTAGACTTTATCACTAACTCCAACTCTAGCCACAGAGTCAGCAATGCAAAGCTGGAAATGATGAAAAGTATAAAAGGACAAAAGGATAAAATTTCAAAGTATTTCAGGAGAAAAGTATCTTTTTGTGGGTATCTCTGAAGTTTCAGGGTAATTGTTAAGAAACAGCATTTGAGTTGTCTCCCACAATAATGAAAATAACTTCAAAATTTATGAATAGGTGAAAGTTAGTTTTAAATAAAAATTTTGTCTCAACTTTAAAATACTGTACTTATAAGAGAAGTCTATAACTACTACCATCAGATACTGGTGGTACCACCATCACATTAAATGAAACCTCTGAATTCTATGTTCATATTTCTGTTTCTTTATGTGGTGGAGAGAGGAGAATTCGGGGAGAGTTATGGTAAAACCTCAGTGCTCTCCTTCATTGTATACATTTTTATTTCAGTGAGCAGCTCCAACATAAATATTTAAAACTTAAATTCTTCCACAAGGCATGGAATTTTCAAGTGAACCATTAGTCGCTTGGGCATTTATTTTTAAAAGCAAGAGCACAGATCATAAAGAAAACAATGGTAAGTTTCAAATTAGAAAATCACCAAGAGACCAGCAATGCAAATATGCAGATGTGAAGACTGACATTGTTGTACCCTTGGGAAAAGCTTAAGTTTTCAAAATATCTTATTTGATATATTACCCATATGACCTTTAAAAAAAAAAAAAACAAACAAGATAAAATCAGCCAGAGCACATCACCGTAGGTTCAGAGCAGGATAATCTACCCCCAGAGTGACATCCTTGCTGGGGTCTGGCCATCCTAGGAAGAGACTGTGAGGATAAACGTATGTGGTGCCTTTTGGTTTTATGGTATTGGAATTCAGACTACATAAATTATAATTTGTTTATGTCTGCTCTGTGTTAAATTAAAAGAAGTTGGATCACCTAGACAATGACTGCTTTGCTTGAATGAGTTTCTAAAAAAGAAGCTAGTATTTATAATGTAATGAATCACGCTAAAAATTTCCCTTTATAAAAGAAAAAAATCTAAAGTAACAGTGGACTACAGATCGAGTGGAAACAGGCAGAGTGATTAAGAAGTTGGGCTCTGGAGCCAAACAGTCGTGTACTTAAATTCTGGCCATGTTACTTTACAGCAGTGCAATTTTGGGCAAGTTACCTAAATTCTTTACACCTGATTTCCTTATTTATATAATAACTGCAATTAATAACAACAATAAAAGCAGCAGCACTAACCACATACATGTTTTGTGAAAAGTAGAAATGTTGATACATAGGAATTGTGTCATTGCTCAACAAATAGTAGTTGTTAGGATATTGTTGCTGGGCAAACTTCATGGTCCAAGTTCCAGAACTTCAGGGTTTTTTTCCCAGTGTGAGGGTATGGGGAAAATTCCCTGCTCGAGCCATTAAGACAATTTTGGAGGGATTAGTGGAGGAAAAAGACTAATTTAATAATGTGTACATTGCAGGGGCACTACAATGATTATGCAGGTCCTGGTTTCAATCAGGAAGAAAAGGGTTTAAATCCACAGAAGGAAGTAAAGGGATTGGAGGTGCAGAGGAGAGAGGTAGGGGACTTCATGTGAGAAAAGGGATTATTTCTTTTCTCTGAAAGTAAAATTGTATTGTTCAAATGGAGAGGGCACATCTCCAAATATTGCTACGCCAGGATGATACCAACCCCAAAAGACATAATTTGGGTGTCAATAAAGGTAGCTGTGATCACTTTGGCTAGGGGAAGAGCAAAGGGATTAGGGGAAAGATAAGACCTTCTCCTTAGCCTCCAGGGTTTTCCTGGCCCTCAGCTCAAAATAGTCTTCTTTCTGAAAAATGATGTAAGAATTATATAAAATAAAATATTAAAAATAAATAAATAAATAAATAAATAATGATTAAAAAAAAAGTCTTCCTGCCAGAGCCGGGTGTCTTTAAAAGACCAACTCTGAGAATCTTGCGGGAGTAGTCTGTTTTGAGTACTTTCACCAGCAAACAAGAGTAATAAACTGTGGGAGAGACCATCACTCTCAAAGCCAAGGGTATCTCTTTGTTCTGTCATATCTAAGTTGATCCTAACTTTTCCCAAACAATTGTTAATAAAATTTATGGTTTCAATCTAGTCGATGTAAGGGGAAATGTTTTATAAATTTACATTTAAATTTAAAACATGATCCCTTCCAGCTCCATCCATGTTGCTGTAAATTGCACGTGTTTATCTTTTTTGATTGCTGAGTAATATTCCATTGTGTATATGTACCACATCTTCTTGATCCAGTCATCTATTTTTTGGGAGGTGGCATTTGGGTTGTTTCCAAAGCTTAGCTATTGTAAATAGTGCTGCTATAAACATAGGAGTGCAGGTGCTCTTTGGAATTAATGCTCAGTGAAATAAGCCAGAAAGAAAAAGAAAAATACTGGGTGGTCTCACTCATAGCAGGAATCTAGAAAACCTAAATAAGGGACCAGGGAAAAGAATGACTATAAGAAAGAAAAAATCAAAATCAACAAACAACTATGAACCAGAGACACTTGGGGGGGGGGCAGGGAAAGGAGGGAATGGGGTCAAAATAAGGGGGTTGCAATTATATGGGGAATATAAAAATAAAATTAAATAAATAAATAAATTTAAAACAACATTGCCTTTTATGTAGCATTCAGGCCACCATGAAGTTAAAGAATGTCTCATTGTCCTAGGGAATTTATGATTAGGAAATAAATTTGAGTATACTCTCTATACTACTCACAAATGAAAAGAAATACAAACTTGTTTGAACTCTTACTGGAAATTCTTACCAGAAATACTTCATTTCCTCTATACATACTTCATTTCATCTATTTTAACTATACTTGTGAATAACCAAACCGGGTCTTCTGCTTCATCCAGAAGGAAACTCTGAACTATGAGAATTGTGTTTATAAAGGAGTTTATTTGAGATGGCCATCAAGAGAGTCAGTGGGATAGCCACCTCCAAAACAATCTGCTCCCCAAATGGCGGGAGTGCTGGGATTTTATCAGGGGTGAAGGAATGTGAGGGAAAGTCAGGGCTTCACATCTCCAGGTTTGGGGAGGTTCCAGGCACCTGAGGTGACAGGGGTCAAGGTGTGTGACTTTCCCAGCAGGGGGGTTTTCTTAGCAATCATCAGATATTTTCATCGGAAGCCACTGTCAACCCCAAAAGGACGGAGAATTTTATCAGGGATGTAACTCAATCGATTTTGCAAGTTCCCAGGAATGCAGGTGGAACCAGTTAACAGTTAGTCATAAGGTGGTGTTAGGGAGTGTAATTCAGTGAGTTAATAGTTAATCCTAGAGTGGGAATGCAATTTAGTGAGGTAAAGTTCTGAAGAGGGAATGGAATTCAGCCGTTAGAGTTTTATTCCACTTATTACTAAATTTTTAGTCTAGGGGAGTTATTTTTTAATTTATTTTTTTATTATTTTTGCAAAATGGAGGAGATCTGGCAATATTCTTATGAGATAGGAACTACTGTGCTTTAAGAAAATGAACAATTTTTTATGGAAATAACATTAATTTATTACACTCCATGTGATTTAAAGGTCTAGGTTTACACCTCTTCTACGGTAACCAATGTTACTGTATCACACCCACAAACAAATCACCCATCTTCCTTCAGCATAGCTCACTGGGCCCCTCAGGATTTGTTCCCGCTCCCTATTCCCTCCCCCTCTGATAGCTTTAGTTTGGTGTGTTCCATTGTGTTATTTCTTTATATATTCTACATATGAGTGAAATCATCCAGTATTTGTTTCTCCCTCTGACTTATTTTACTTAGCATTATCCACTCCAGTTCCATCCATGTTTCACAAATGGCAAGATTTTACTTATGTTTTTATAGCTGAATAGTATTCCATTTTGTATATGTTCCACGTCTTCCTAAGCCACTCATCTGTTGTTGTCCACTTAGGCTATTTCCATAGTTTGTATATTTTCAATTGTGCCCCAGTGAACACAGGAGTGCATAGAGCCCTCTGAATTAGTGCTTTTGCATTCTTCAGATAGACACCTGGGAATGACATTTATAGATCATATGGCAGGTCTATTTTTACTCTTTTGAGAAACCTTCATACCATTTTCCACAGGGGCTGGACAAGTCTAAATTCTCACAAATAGTGTATGAGGGTTCCTTTTCTTCCACATTCTCACCAACACTTGTCTCTGATCTTTTTTTAAAGGTTTATTTATGCATACAAGAACTGGGGTACAGGCCAGAGGTGCAGGAGGGTGAGAGGATTCACCAGAGACAGAGTGGGTAGCAGAACAGGTGGAGTGACTGAAATACACTGCTGAGGGGAGCAGTGGGTGAGTCTGGAGAGGTCTGCTGTGCTATGTGGGTATCTCATTGTGGTTTTGATTTTTTTTATTCTTTATATATATATATACATAAATTTTCATTGTTGTACAATGTATGCTTGTATGCTTTCTCCTTTTTTGGTGTATTCCTCGTAAAATTCCCACCACCAATTCACCCGTGCACCATCACCATAGTCTCTTGTGCTCTTCTCTCTCCTATTTTGATCACTGTGGTTTTGATTGCATTTCCCTGATAATAGTGATGATTAATATCTTTTCCATGTGCTTGGTAGCCATCTGTAAGTATTTGGAAAAGTGCCTGTTTAGCTGTTCTACTATTTTTTGATTGGGTTATTGTTTTCTTTTTGAGTTGTAAGAATTCTTTGTATGTATTCTTTAAGCAGAGGCATTAAATGTATCAATTCTAATCATTTTTTAAAGGTTTATTTATTTATGCATACTAGAACTGGGGTGTAGACCAGAGGTGTGGAGGGTAAGAGGATTCACCAGAGACAGAGTGGGGGAGGAGAACAGGCAGATTGACTGAAATACACTGCTGAGGGGAGCAGTGGCAAGGCAGGAGAGGTCCGCTGCACCATGTGGGTTAGCTCCCTGGCCAGGGATCGAATTTATGCTGCAGTGGTTGTAGATAGCTTCATAGTGCTGAGACTTAATCCCTTGTGCCACCAGGGAAGCCTGGATTCTAATCATTTTACCTTGTAACACCAATGTTCTCAATGTTTTTAGTTAGTATTCATATGAGAGCCTTTTTATCGACTATATTTTTGTGTGTGTGATTGTGGTTAACTACCTAGAGCTATGCTTTAAGGATTATTAGTGGATTAGTTGAGGGCATATGCTGTGAATTTTGAAAACTTTAGTTCCAATCCTGACTTCAGACTGTTAGGGGGAAAGGATGTCCTGAGCTAATCCCATACAGGCTTTGTGGACCCCACCCCCACTCCAGACCAAAGCCATCAGGACATTGGGAAAGACAAATCCCGTCACCACCAAAGGGAAGGTGGCTGGGACCTGAGGGTGGAGTTAAGCAGCCAGGTTGGATATAAAAACCAAACACGTGGGCCTTGGGCTCGGGCTCGCTGTCACTCGCTTCCTGGCTTCACGGCTCCTGGCTTGCAGCCAGCTCTCAGAGTGCCATTTGGGATTCCAGATAGGTGGATCAGGTAGGACTATTTAAAACTTTGTCTCCCACTTTTCTCCCTGAGCTGTACATTTCCTCATTTCCCCTTCCCTTGTAAATAAACCTTTTATTTTATTAACCTTTCGCGTGTGCCTGCAGTAGAGCGTTGATAAGTCCTTTTAAGCGCGCGGGTGAGGACCCACAGTCAGGCACCCCGTTTTGTATCGGGGCTGCCCTATAACAAGACTAGTGTTGACCTTAGGTAAGCTACTTAACTTTTATGGGTGTTTGTTATTTCACTTACAAAATGGGGATAATGTCACCTACTTCATAGATTTATTTTGAGGATTAAATGACTCAGTGAAAAATGTTGGAGATAGAGACCGGCACATAATAAGTACTCATTTAATGGTGGTCAAATAAACATGCAATGAGTTACTGATGGACAACACATACACACATATACCTCTAGAGAATGTGGAAGATGCCAAACTGAACATAATAAGCATATAGAATTTGGATTTACAGTTTTAGCAAGAAAACAACATGCATTGTGAAAGACCTTTTTTTAATAAATTATTTTATTTTATATAATTCTTACATCATTTTTTATTTTTGCATAATGTATGCATTTTCATTTTGGTTATATTCCCCATAAAATTCCCACCCCCTTTTTCTGACCCTAATCCCTCTTCTCCTCCCCCCACCCCCTGCCCCGTAGTGTGTCTCTGGTCTATAGTTATTTGTTGATTTTGATTTTTACTTTATTGCAATTAGTCTTGTGAAAGAAGAAACTTTTAATAAAT